TGATTTCTACACCAGTTTCTAAACGTTTTTAAGAAATTCAAACCCTCAACCATTTGAAATTGGAAAATTAGTTTTCTTCCCCAAAGGATTATATAAGAAAAACTACCCCTGGTATCTTGCAGAAATGCCTGGTAAGATACCGTAACTCAAATTTTTGTGCGTAAACATGTTTAAGTAGCAACACTTCAGTGACAAACTCTTAGAAAAATTTATCTATTATTAAAGAACGTCTCTTCTGCCCTTAATATCAAGTCACACATTTAGATAAGTGTGTAATTCTAAAAAAATTCTCTCATAAGAAGTAAAAACTGAAATAGACTTGGAAAATTTTACTAATATTTCAATAAAAAGGCAAATTTGGACTAAAAACACTCAGTAAAGATTTACAGATAAAACAGATTTAAGAATATTTTATATTGGTGCTAAAATAATATATAAATTTAGAAAAAGTATACTAAACCAGGTGAATTTTATCAGGAATAGCAATATGATAAAAATCAGCATAAATGATATTGCTGATTTCTTGTCATTTTGCTTTTTCTAGAAAAATTTGTATCGAGTAGGATATAACTTCAAATCTTATTTTCAAGTAAACATGATAAAAATCGGACATTATCTCCAATTGTACGCTTTATCCAGCCAGAAAATTTGATGAAGATAAATTAAATTCTTTTAAAGATTTGAGTTCAGTTTAAAAATTTTTGGGACAACCCTAGTAGTAGATAATATCATAAAAATGTTTTAAAATATGCGAACATCCTTAAAGTTTATTATTCACCATGTTTACTTCAATCAAATCTTAGTATAACCTAAACACTATTAGTTTACAAGATGTACCATATGTCTTATTTTTTTTGACAATCATAGCCGACTCTTAGCACCTTTCCAAGCAGTAACACATTTTAACGCATATTCCACTTATTATTTCTAACGCAAAATCAAAATATAGCATTCCCTAGCAATCATACATTTTTCATACATTTTAAATTAAACATTTTAAATTTAATGCCAATTGCTAAAATCCAATAAAATAAAAAAAGTTCTGATCTTTTTTTGATACATGTATTATTGACAGCTGCTTCCTCAATAGAAATGGAACTCATATATTGACTTACCTGGTCATTGGTCATTTGCAAAATTACTTTGTTAAAAAAGAATGTGATTGCATACACGAGTACTCTGAAGTTGACATCTAGAAGATGCGTGAATTTCTGATTGACAATATCTATGTGGTTTTTGTAGACCAGGTCTCCCAAAATCTATTGGAATTCCCATATTTGCGCTATTTTGTGTATTCATATGGAGCAGAATTTATGCAAAATCATATGCGTGAAAAGAAGAAAACACTTGTTGTGGCCTTCAAATCGACCTTCAGATATATTGACGACGTACTGTCAATTAACAATGGTAATTTCCATTCCTACGTCGATACGACATATCCAGGAGAGCTTGATATAATAGATACCACAGAGTCTACCACATCAGTGTCATACTTAGGATATTGCACTTGAAAAAAACGTTAATGGTAACCAGACCTGGGGTCAATTACTTTGAAATGTAATGCATTACATTACAATTACATTGGAATTTTTATCATTACAATTACAATTACCATTACTCTCATTTAGAAAAGTAATTAATTAAATTACAATTACTTTGTTAAAGTAATTAATTACATTACACATTACATTTTATAAGAAAAAAACACAAAACGTATCACCACACAATTTATACCCGGTACCTATAAATTAACTTTCACACTTTTTGCTCGATAAAATGTTTTCCCTCAGATCTATAAATCAGAGTGGTATTTGGATTTTGGATTCATGTATCATGTTCATGTAGTTTACCAAATCCAATCTACAGTTGACAAAGAAAGTGGATCAGAACACTTTCAATGTTGTAGTTTTGTTCAATATCTGATAATAGTTTCTCTGTTGTTTTTGTTTTTTAAATAAATGATTTATTGAACATTTCCTACTAGATGTTTTATGTAAACTAATATTTAATTAACAGATAATGCTATAAATGTATAAGGAGTATTAAAAACATGATGAATTAATTAGCACTTCTAATTAGCTTCACAGGTATAATCAATGAAGCCATAAATTAAACACAACCAAAGGTGATAATTACAAGTACTTGGATGGTTTATATTTTGAGGCCTTAATTAAGCTACCAAAAAATGAATGATGGTCAATATATCAGTCTATATTTATATTTGGCCTTAGTTTCTCTTTGGTCTACAATAAATCATACTGATCTTGTATCATGTTTACCAGGTCCATTTTACCAGATTGAAACGGGGGAAAAAAAGAAAAATATAATTTGTATCTTAATTTAACTGTAAGTCTCACTATACCTGTATTAATATCACTTTTTTGTATCTTTCTTTAAAACCCGATGATTTCTTTTAATATTTTTCTTTGGTTCTCTTCAATTAATTTTACAATTGACTTAATCAAGAAGATTTCTATTAAAAGAATTATTTAGTTTGTCTATAAATTACCATTTAATGATATAAAAAATATTGTAGGATATAGAATTTTAATTTTAACACTCTAACATTATTAAAAAAAATAACTTCTCAGTGATATTTATTTGTTTCAGATTCCAAACTAAACATAGACTAATATATAAAATGTAATTAAAACGTAATTGAAAAGTAATTGGTCATTACTGACTTTTTTTAAGTAATGCATTACATTACAATTACTTGTAATTGAAAGATAGATCCATTATACATTACACCCCATTTCTTTGAAAATACGAATGATTACAATGCATTACCATTACACATTACCATTACCCCAGGTCTGATGGTAACCTAACAGTCAAGTTATATTAAAAGCATGACAAATTTAACTTTTCAATGCAGTAATAAATATACCTTCATCACCTGCAATGGAATATATATCTCTCAATTCATTCGATACGCAAGAGCATGCTCTACATAAAAACAATTTCTAAAACGAAGTATTATTGACAAGCAAGCTGATGAAAAAGAATATCAGTAGTCTCGTTTAAAGTTATGTATTTCGTAAGTTCTATGGTTGATACAATGACATTGTCAGCAAATACGAGGGTTGTCCAAAAAGTTCGTGGACAATGACGTTTTTGTTAAAATAAATGGTTCTATATGCATCTATTGTATATCAAAATATTTTTCATGAAAAAATAAGTCAGAATGATTTAATTTTTATTGATGAAACTTAATATTGTTGTAAAAATCGGGGTCTTTAAAGATAGCAGATTGCGCGCACGGACCAGTCTGACTTTACGCTAATTTCATTATTACGTAAAACATTTGGATTTTGACTTAACACATGTTCAAGGACGCACACTACATTTCTTTTTTAAGGCGCAACGCACTTCCAAGTGCTAGCAATAACCTTTAAGTGTAGATTATAATTTATTTAATTTTTAAAATTAAAAACAATGCACACAAATTTACGAGCACCATCTTAATTAACAGTTTGTATACACAAACTGCACAGCCCAGTCTGACGCTGCGCTAGATTTATAACAACGTCATGAATAAAAATCTCCATTATCAGTAAATTACACGTGTTTTTAAATTCTTGTAGTGTCTTCGAATTTGTACTCACCGTTGAAAAATCGTATATACCAATCTTAAATCGATCCATTCAATACATTTCAATAATTTTGAGTTGTTTTAATAAATATTTTGTCTCTTACATCGTTTTAACCTTTATAAAATTTTATTTTTTGACCGGACGCTGCCCCCTGCCGACGGACGACGTCACTTTTTCTGTTGAGTCTTGACACGTACTTGTTAAGGTTTTCTTTGTGTATTTTTGTTGTCTATATAGTAAGCGATATTTAAGATATCATAAAATGATTATAACCTCTTTATTTGTGTTACATAACATTTTAATCAATTTTTGACTTGTTTTATATAGAAAATAATCATATCAATCCGAACTCTTTGTATCAGAGTTTACTTCATTTTAACCTGGTCCGTGCGCACTATCCGCAACCTCTAAAGACCCCGATTTTTACAAAAATATAACGTCCCATCAATAAAAACTAAATCATTCTAACTTGTTTTTTCACAAGAAATATTTTGATATGCAACAGATTTATATAAAACCATTTATTTTCACAAAAACGTCATTGTCCACGAACTTTTTGGACAACCCTCGTACAATTTATCATTAAGTCAAATCCTGACTGACATTTTTCCCGTTTATACCAATTGTTAGTCCATTATTTATACACTGAATTTAGGATGGATTTTCCCGTTATTTCACGATCATGACAATGAGCACACGGTGAGTGTGAACGTTCAGCAGGGGATGCTCGCTCAACCACGGCACCTGATTTTACCTCTGATGTTTCGAAGGTCTGTGTTTGCTCTGTTCCAATTTTGTATTTTTGTTTTGTGGAATATGATGTTGAATTATGTTCGTTATCTCCATATACTTCTTCTTAAATGGATGTTATTCAATGAGTTTGCAAACTTTTTGATCCCTTCTTGTACATGTATTCAAGGTCTTTTTCTTATCTTAACGTGTTTAATAAAAATATATAATAAATCATATATAGAAATTAAAATGTAGCAAAGTTATTTTTTTAGCCTTGAAACCCTTCAATAAGATGGAAAATTGCAATAAACCATGGTTTATAGGACTCTATATTTATAATAGGCTTATTACAAATGGAAATACATATCAAGAATACTTTTTGATGTAGATCTTAAAATGAAATACATTATTAAGACATCCCACAAAATATATATGGAAGCAAAAACTATTATTGATAGCATACAATTGAATATGATTTACATAGTTGCTCAAAAACTCTAATTAGTACGTATAAGATTTTTTTCTTTTGATTTAAATTCTGTGAAATCTTTTTGAGCATGTCCCTTAGGATGTACTCAACTCAAGGAGACATTTCAAGCTCTAGCAGAATCGTCTTGAAGAAGTATATCTCACTTTTTAAGTTTAAATATTTCTTCTTAACAGAGGGAACTTGACAATAGACAGTATGTCCTTTTCTAAGCATTACCAATCTACACCAGAAACAACCAATGCCGCTAGACTGGCGAGGATGATACTTGGTCCGTGCACAGATGTCCTGCGAGATATCCTAAAAAAAGAAGTGTCACCAACGGATCTGTCTAAAGAAGTAAAGAAAAATATTGATATGTTAAAAAAATCAAGGTTTGCGAAATCCACTCAATCCAACGCAATCAGAGATAATTTTCCCAAAACCCACAAAGCAGTACAGTGGTGATTATTCAGACTTAGATATATCTTTATTGTATTTACTTCTACGTAATGTAAGTAAAATAGCACCACATTCCAAAGGTTGGGGAGAAATTCCAGATCCTGGAGACAGAGGCGTGGCTGCTAACATTGAAAGAATTCGCTTCCTTAGAAACAAGTATTACGGACATTCACCTAATGTGTCCCTATCCGACTCAGAATTTAGACAGGAATGGCGGAACATCCGGGACATCGTAGTAGAGCTAGAGCGACATTATGGTTCATCAACAATTTACCAAGATGCAGTCAGCATTTTAAAAACTTGCTGGATGGACCCAGCAGGGGAGAAGAAATATCTAGATTTACTTGGAGATATAAAAGATCTTCAAAAAACTGTGGATGTTCTATCCAGTAAGTAAGAGTTAAACTTGTAACATCACGTATTTTGCAATATTCTCATTAGTTCAAAAAAATATATAGTTACTATACTATTACCATATATAGAAATTGCTAATGTTACGATGATAAAACAAATAACACATAATAAAAGACCTCATTTGCATTCTTCACACAGTTTATTGGATTGTTAAACTTTTTTTCTTATTTTTTGCAGATGCAGCGCTTCATTGTGGTAAATACAATCATATTCATTGTGATTAGATATATGCCAAGAACAAGAGCAAGAATTTCTGAAAAATCAAAACTGTTCAGTTTAAGTTGAAAATGCAGTATTTATCAATAGGACTGTTGCTGAATATGTATTTATTGAACATGAAGTAATTTTTCCTCTAGTCAATTCATAATGACATTATAAAATTGCCTCATATTTCAGATATGCAGTTACGTAATGAAAGATATGTTTTTGAATCTCAAAAAAAATGTTATAATTTTTTAAAATTCTTCCTTTAGTTTTTTTTTTTTTTTTGCAAAGGTAGTCAATTTTATATTTTTTCTGCAAATTCAAGGTCATTGCTTTTTCCAATACTTGAAATTACAAAAAAGAAAATTTATTTAAGGAAATAAAAGTACCAAGTCTCATCTTTATTTGATATATGAAAAAGGGTTACAATCAATATATTGATACCAATTCTTCATACCAATATTTCATACCAATTGTTAGTCCATTATTTATACACTGAATTGACCACGGATTTTTTCCGTTATATCCTGATTATGACAACGAGCACACGGCGGGTGTGACCGGTCGGCAGGGGATGCTCACTCCTCCATGGCACCTGATCCCACCTCTGATGTTTCGGAGGTCCGTGTTTGCTCTGCACTTATTTTGTATATTTGTTTAATGGACGTTGAGATTGAATACTGTTCGTTATTTCCATATCCTTCATTGATATAATGACAGGGGCATATAAAATGAACCTAGCTCTTTGATGTTTCATGAATATTATACAGCAAAAGTATCATATTTATGTTTACGAATATTATATAAGTAACTAGTTACTATCTTAAAGCAATATGAGCAATATATGCAACTTTGATGCTGGTTTTTTTTTGTTGCAAAGTTTTACATAACCTTTTCAATGACGGAAAAAGAACGTTAATTATCTTTGATGTTCATGTATAAGATGGAAGAACTATTTATTAGCTTCGATTGAAACAATAATACATTATTGACATTTTGTACATAATGATTTCTTATACATAACTATACGTTGGATTGTATGTAGAAGCCTTTCTTCTGCTTTTGTTCAGTCTAATTGATCTAATTAAAGGTTTAAGTAATTAATAAAATACATATTCATCATAATAACGCATTTTAACAGGAAATCTTCTTTTCAAAAATGCAGCTCGTATTGCATTAAGTGAACTGATTATGAAAAGTAAATTGTACAAAATGCCATCAGAACTTTTTAAAACAAACCTGCATAGCCTTTCTTAAAAATTCATTAAATGTTTAGTTAAAGACGAAATTATTTTTCTTATTCTTAAGTATGAACATTTTGATATTAGTAAATATGCCTTATTATTTTTTCTTGTAGAACTAAGAGTTGAGAGGAAGATCGGTATGAAGATTATTTAATACGACAATCACATGATATTCAAGATATTCCAATTTCTGATATTTTAGTACTTTTAACAACAATCACATAGGTTAAATTCATTAAATCATTGTTTTAGGTTTTTTTTTTATCGTAATACATATATGCAGAGATACATCTCCTCCATAATATGTTAAATAATAAAGAAGATACCTTTGAAAGGTTTTTTTCTCATCTTAAAACCTTGCCAAACTGGTGTACGGTATATCTCATTTCTACTTTTTTTTCTTATACATGTAATTCAAGAGAACACTCATGGCCTTTTAGCATATTAACACTGATCGATTAACAGATTAAGCATTATACATCCATTAATTATAAACAGGAATAAATCTTCTTTAAAGTTCAAGCAATCTTACAAAATCAAATAAATTGAATATATTTGTAGATCGATAATAAAAAAATTTAAGAATATATATCTTCTTAAATTCCTTCGTGATGTTGTTATGTCTTAAAGATTAGTAACTTTTTTCTATTCATAGAAACAACCAAGCAAATGATATCGGAACATTATAAAGGTATGAGCAATCTATTTGTAAAGACTCGTGCTTTTGATGAAGCAAAGCAACTCTTGGATAGAAATGGGTATGTCGTCATCAAAGGGCATCCTGGAACTGGGAAAACTACGATAGCCAAAATGCTTATGAAAAAATTGATAGACATTGGAAAATTTCCTCTTCAGATTTTCAAATTCTCTGAATTGTATGATACCATCTCATGGGCAGATGGAGTAGCTTCATTCTTTGACAATATGTTAGGAGAATTGTCTTTGTCCTATAAAGAAGTTAATGAATTTACAACAAAAGCTGAAATGATAAAAATATTGATTGAGCGTGATACGAAAAACAGTATGATATTTACAATAAGAAATGATGTTTACCAAGAATATATCAATCAGAGGAAAAACGATTTTTTCTTTCAATCATCCTTGATAGATATATGCAGTAGTGAATATGGTTTGCAAGAACAAGAAATGGCCCTTTTTTTACAAAACTATAAATTGTCAAAAAGCAATTCAAATACTGATATTATTAGGAGGGTATCAGAAATCCCTTTGTCAATAGGATTTCCACAGTGTTGCAAATTTGCAAGCACAAACGCTGAAATTTCAAGTGATATTGAACATTTTATGCTCAATCCTAGGACATTTTTGAAAGAGTATTTCGAGACATTTTTGCAAAAAATCCCAGTAAAAAGTGCCGTTCTCGTTTATATTCTCTTCAGTGGGGGAAAAGTGGATATAAATTGCATAGAGAGCATTCATGAAGATTTGGAGATGAAACGTGCATTTTTGAAATATCTTGGTTTACATTACTCTATGTTAAACAATTTTCATAGAAATATATTTTGTTTCGAAGGATTCCTGACAATTCGAGACACAATAGAACATACTTATAAATTCTCTCATAGTTCAGTTCAAGAAATGCTTTTTAAAGTATTTTTTTATTTTGATCCCAAAAATATGATACAGAATTGTCACCATTCCCTGTTAAATATGTTGACGACAGATAAAAACCCGAACAGCACTCAAGTTATCATAGGAGGGGATCTATATAGTGATGTTGCGAGTCGTTTGGCAAATATTATTGAAAGTCACTCTAGTGAAGGATATACGTCTGTATCTTTTCTTGAATTGTGGAAGGATTCAGATTTCTATGAAAATATATTACTAAGAAAACAATTTATTTTGAAGATAGAAACTTGCCGTGATAGAAATGAAGATTCCATGATAGTACATTTTTCTAAAGCAGGGGAAACACGTTGGGTAAAATATTTACTACCGAATTCCGACAAAAAAAACGATACCTATCCCTTAATACTGCTTGTTCTTCAAACAAATCCGAGATTGTTCATCTCATTCTGTCTTCTGATGTACGGTGTGATCTTCAAACGTGTTTTCATGCAGTGCAAAGTGGTAATTTAGAGTTACTGTTCCGAGTTTGTGAGCTTGTAGACCTCCATCAAATAAACTTTTCATTGCATCCTGTGTGGTCTTTTTTAAGACATAGTTTGCTCCAGGAAATATGTCTGATGCGACAAACACAATTTGTTGAACCGATTTTATCTAAATATCCGTTTTTAGTGAAGATAAAAAATGACTATGGTTCTAATGCTCTACAATCTGTGGCAAGTTCTGGTGACATGCATGTATTCAATTTGCTGCTAAAGTTTGGCTTCGACCTGTATGAAAAGGATCGATTCTTTGGCCACACGGTCTTAACATGTGCTTGTCGAGATGGAAGACTAAAAATGGTAAAATACCTTATTGAGAAATACCCCGTCCTGCTCCATTACCATACAGACCGAAATGAGAAAAGTCTTTTGTATTGGGCAGCTTTCTGTGGGAAAATTAAAATGTTTGAATATATTCTAAATCTCTATGTGAATGAAATCATCATATTACCTATATCGAGTTGTATAGAAGCTAGAATATATGGAAACGATAAATCAGGTCTATCTATCCTACACGCTGCGTGTGAAAATGGTCAATTAGACATGTGCAAATATTTATTGAATAGATATCCAAAATTACTATATGCATCTGACGATGATGGGATGAACATTCTTCATTCTACAGCTGTGAGTGGTAACTTACCTCTTTTCCAGCATATATTAAGTAAAGGTTTGGATATTCATTCCACAACGAATAGTGGAATGAATCTATTATATCTCTGTTGCACCAGAGGTAGAAAATATTTCTTTCATTATCTTGTTAATGCATATCCAGATTTCATACACGCCAAGGACAAAAATGGAATGACAGTATTGCATGCTGCTTGTTTTGGTGGAAGTATAGAAATTGTTGCTTTTCTTATTTCAAAGGGTTTAGACACCGGTGCATTGTCAAATGATGGTAAAAGTATTCTGCATGTTGCTTGTATAAGTGGGAAGTACGAGATTTGTGAGTATTTGATAGAAAACCAACCTCAGTTAGTACATGTAAATGACAAATTCGGTTTTTCAGCTTTACATTTTGCTGCCAGCGGGGGTAACGTCCAGATCGTCAAACTATTGGTTGAAAAAGACACGAAAATCAACATTGTAAGCAACGATGGAAAAACTATTTTACATTTTTGTTGCTGCTTTGGAAAAACAGAAATGTGTGAATATCTTGTAAGGCATCATTCAGATTTATTGCGATTAAAAGACAAAAAAGGGTGGACAGTATTGCATTCGGCTTGCTTTGGGGGAAGTGTTGAAATGGTTTCCTTTCTAATAACAATGGGTTAGACAGCAGTGCATTGTCTAATGACGGTAAAAGTATTTTGCATATTGCAGGTATCATCGGGAATTATGAAGTTTGTGAGTTCTTGATTGAAAAATATCCCCAGTTACTTTATACTAGAGATAGAATTAATTGCACAGTCTTACATCATGCAGCTTGTGCAGGTAAAATTGAAATAGTAAAAATGTTACTTGAAAAAGGAATGGATATCAGGTCTGTAGCATACGATGGAAAATCAATTTTACATATTTGTTCTCCCATCATTCATATACAGATGTTGAAATACTTGGTGAATCATCACTCAAAATTATTGGAGTTCAGAGACAATAATGGATGGACAGTGCTACATTCAGCTTGCTCATTTGAAAATGTAGAAATAGTTTCTTTTGCAATAGAAAATGGATCGGACATAAATGCTCTGTCAGATAATTGTAAGTGCATTCTGCATATGACTTGCTTGGCTGGAAAATATGATATTTGTGAATTTATAGTTGAGAAATATCCAGAGTTATGATATATGAGTAAGCCGTAGTATTCTTGATGTTATATAATTAGCCTCTAAAATTTACAGAGCTTTCATTCATTGTTAACATATATGTGGCCGGGATAGAAATTCGGGCAAATGTCAAGGAGTATAGCCAATTTCAATTAACAGGATAACACAACGATTTAAAGTCCCTGATGTAATTAATTTCATAACCAATGAACATCTATTCGCCATTTGAAAGACACTAGTGTCGAGTCTTACTGAAAGTCCATGGATGAGAAAGAATTGTACTGCTTGGATTAGTATGTACATTTAATAACTCTGCAATCCGGGGGAACCACACACACAGTACACTAACCCTTAGATCCGCCATGAAAATTTCAATCAAGAAGCATCCTATAGAATTAATACAAGGGAAGCAAGAAAAAAATTAAATGTGCTGAAAAAATCTAGAAATATTATTATGATTTTAAAAGGAATTTTAAAGATCGTCTTAGGATAAGTGGTACATTTCTTTCTCTTTTTCAATGATTTTCTAGCATTGATTCACATTTTCAATAATAGCACCATAATATTCATATTGAGAAGCTTGTGTCTCACATCTCACAATATGTCACAAGATATAAAGGTAAGGGTTTGTCTGAGCATGTTAAGTGAGTTTTGATAGATGGGCATACAAGATTACAAATAACAATCCTTTCAAAAGGATGCCCGGTTGATCCCAAAATTTACACAGATCATGAAAGTAAAAATACTTAGTAAAGATTATGAGAAGTTTCATCGAAATCTGAAAGTCCGTTATTTTCAGTTACAGTCACAATTACCATAGAAACTGGCCAGTCTCACGCTGTAAAAACCCCTGTCCTAATTGCTTAATCAGAAAATGTTCTCTCATTTCAGAAAATACCCCCTAAATGCAACACTTTAGGAAGTGTGTGTCTTGTTCGTCTAATTTTTTTTCATGCAAGCTTATTAGGGCTTTCCACCTTTCTGTGGAAAGACCTCTTGAAATGCTTATGTTTATTATTATTATTATTCTTTTTCTTCCCGAACTTTTGAAATCGTAAGACTTATCGAAAAACGTTATGGTTCATGATATTGGATATTAAAAGTTATTCCGAAAAACGACCCAAGAAGTTGGAACTTTGACCCCTTTCAAAGTTATTGCCCCTTTCGCAAGAAATGTTTGTTATCGCTACTCCTTTGAAACCGTAAACCGTAGAGGTATGAAACCTTCACCAATGTCTTGGATTAATTGAGAGGACTCTGGAATCTATTCATTGCAAAAGTATTCGGTGACTCCTTCAATGAGTTATTGCCCCTGAAAGTCTTAAAGCTGACAAGAAAAATTAAAAACTTTTAAAGGACAAGTGGTAAAGATATGGGACCAAGTGCATGAGATCTTATGACCTTTGACCTTGAAAGTAGGTCAAGGTCAAAGGTCAAGGTCATTAGAAAACTAGAGAAATTGTCAATTTAAGCTTAAAATCCAAATGACCTTGACCTTTGACCTTGATATTTAACATTGACCTTGACTTCTGACCTTGACCCTTACTCAAAAGAAATATTCATTACCTTTATCTAGATTCAGCTTCAAGTGTTAATCTCAAGTTTACCTCTCTCTCTCTTTCTCTCTTGTGATGACCTTGACCTTTGACCTTGATAAATGACCTTGACCTTTGGCCCCATTGACCCAAAGGTCACAATCAAGCTAAAGGTCGTGGAGGTATTTACAACCATCACTCTAACAAATGCTTATAAAATCACCCCCCCCCCTTAAAATAAAATCAACACCAACTTAGAGAAAATGTCTACAAGTAAAATGAAACGAAATATCGGCATAAGATTCGTAATAAAAGGAAGAAGAGACCTGAAAGAAAGTGTCCTGAGAGTTTTAAGGTGAGTCTCCAAAGTATTTTGAAGTTCTAGTGAATATCGGCAAAATGTGCATTTTTTTCTGTCTGAAATTTAGTTATTGCTGAGCATAAAAATTAATTAAGGCTCGTATTGGCTATTTCTGCAATTATTGTTAATATCATTTGATTCTCCTGCTCTATTACGACATTTTAACACCAAGTATTCTTGCTTTCTTAGGTGTATGGAATTTATTTTAATTTTATTTAGATTTAAATATGAATCCACTGAATCTCAGAAATAGCGATTTTTCACATAAAATAAATTTCCACGCTCTCCGTGAAACCGTTTTCTACATGAAATGATGCATGTTTCAAGTTTAATTTATGCTCATAACTATTAATTCAATCCAAATAGAGAGGATTATTTAATCTTACCTATGAGTTCACCATCTCTGTCAAAACGAACGCGCCTAAATTTAACAAATTGTAAACACAGTGCCGACACGGAAGTTCGAATGTATCATAAGCTCTGTATGATTAACTCAATCTGTTCAAACTACAAACAAACTCAAATGATTTTTTTTAATAGGAAATCTCAATTTTCATTATCCACCAATCGTTTTTCTCAGAACGATTCATTATTCCTCTCTATGTTCCATCACAAACAAATAAATACACGTGTTTCTGTACTATTTAAAACTATTCACGTGCTTTCATTTCTTCCTTTTTCTACACTATTAGTTTACGGAAAACAATTTCATCGGAGCGCCTGTAGCGTAGTGAATAGAGCGCTCGCCTGGCAATCAGAGGGTCCACAGTTCGAATCCTGCTGGCAGCATTTTTAATTTTTTTTTTTTTTTTTTTTTTAATTCAAATGACACGGAAACACTTAGAAAGGTGGAAATGACCTCTAATTGTTCTCTGAACAATTAGTCTACTAGTATTTTTAGGTCTTTCCACCTTTCTGTGGAAAGACCTCTTGAAATGCTTATGTTTATTAGGGCTTTCCACCTTTCTGTGGAAAGACCTCTTGAAATGCTTATGTTTATTATTAGGGCTTTCCACCTTTCTGTGGAAAGACCTCTTGAAATGCTTATGTTTATTATTAAGGTCTTCCGTCTTCAGCGGAAGACCTTCTTGTTATTCTTAGGTTTCTTTTCCACTATTTTTATTATTATTATTATTGTTTTTTTTTCTTACCGATTTTGTGCACGCGATTTCTCGAAAACGGCTGGATAGATTTTCATGAAACTTTCAGGACTGATAGAACATCGAACAAAGCTGAAAGTAATTTTTTTGTTTTGATGACGTCACTTCCGGTTTTGAGATTTCCGCGATTTAGTGATTTTCAGGGGGTCTCATTGTCCATCATTTTTCTCGAAAATGCCTTAAGACAGAAATATAAGATTTTCAGCGATGATAGAGCAAGGTGTGCTCTTTTGTCACACACCATTCTCTTTCTCCGGAAGTGCCGCACGTCGGCGCTCGTTATGGCTCGAAAAAAGTTCTACCAGGGACTCAGAAATTTTTGACACCTTTTCTGCAATATCTTTTTACATGTTAACAATTTGTAAAGACATATAGAACAAAAGTTGTAGAGAATGTCACGATCTTTCAAAAAATATCAACGATAAGGGGCTGGCCCCTATAATAAAGGGCCAAAAGGGGCCAAAAATTTTTTCCTTTATATCTCAAAAAGTATTGAGAATTTGTAATACGTCAAAGAAGCAAAGTTGTTCAAAATGTCCAGTGTTATCTAATGGAGTCGTCAAAATACGTCCGGCGACGTCATTTCCGGTCAAACCGGAAGTAGTCAAAAATTGCATATTTTTGCTGTTCTTGACAGGTTTATGGGCAACATATGTCACTGGAAGCTTAAATCTTAACTTTCCGTCCGTCGACGTAACTTCCGGTCAAACCGGAAGTAGCCAAAAATAGCTTATTTTGAAGGTTTTAATGCAAAATTGAAATTATAAAGTCACTGGAGACTACTTAGCTCATTCCTTTCTTTTGTTCACGTCACTTCCGGCACTTCTGGTCAAAACCGGACGGAAGACCTACTCGTTGCTTTGCAACGAGCTCGGCTCTAGTTATTATTATTATTTTTCTTCCCGGACTTTTGAAACCGCAAGACTTATCGAAAAACTTTGTAGTTCATGATATTGGATATTAAAAGTTATTCCGAAAAACGACCCCCCATGTTTGAACTTTGACCCCTTTCAAAGTTATTGCCCCTTTCGCAAGAAATGCTTGTTATCGCTACTCCTTTGAAACCGTAAACCGTAGAGGTATGAAACCTTCACCAATGTCTTTGACTAATTGAGAGGACTCTGGAATCTATTCATTGCAAAAGTATTCGGTGACTCCTTCAATGAGTTATTGCCCCTGAAAGTTTTAAAGCTTACAAGAAAAATTAAAAACTTTTAAATGAAAAGTGGTAAAGATATAGGACCAAGTGCACAAGATCTTATGACCGTTGACCTTGAAAATAGGTCAAGGTCAAAGGTCAAGGTCATTGGAAAAGTAGAGAAATTGTCAATTTAAGCTTAAAATTCAAATGACCTTGACCTTTGACCTTGAAATTTGATTTTGACCTTGACCTCTGACCTTGACCCTTACTCAAAAGGTCATAAAGAAATATTCATTACCTTTATCTAGATTCAGCTTCAAGTGTTAATCTCAAGTTTACCTCTCTCTCTTTTCATGACCTTGACCTTTGACCTTGATAAATGACCTTGACCTTTGACCCCATTGAACCAAAGGTCACAATCAAGCTAAAGGTCGTGGAGGTATTTACAACCATCACTCTAACAAATGCTTATAAAATTAACCCCCCCCCCCCCCCCCCCCCTTTAAAAAGAAAATCAACACCGACTTAGGGAAAATGTCTACAAGTCAAACGAAACGAAATATCGGCATAAAATTCGTAATAAAAGCAAGATTAGACCTGAAAGAAAGTGTCCTGAGAGTATGAAGGTGAGTCTCTAAAGTATTTTGAAATTATAGTGAATATCGGCAAAATCTGCATTTTTTTTTCTGTCTGAAATTTAGATATTGCTGAGCATAAAAATTAATTAAAACTCGTATTGGCTATTTCTGCAATTATTGTTAATATCATTCGATTCTCCTGCTCTATTACGACATTTTAATACCAAGTATTCTTGCTTTCTTAGGTGTATGGAATTTATTTTAATTTTATTTAGATTTAAATCTAAATCTCACTCACTGTTTTTCCGGGATTTTGAATTTCCTCTGCAACTGACCACGTGTATTACTTTCGCTTTTACGACTCTATATATGCTAAGTGTCATTGCTTCACTTCAAATGTGTCCCATAATTATTCTAATCATTTTCCTACATACAATATCACATCAAACCGGCAAGATCTCAGTTTTTTAAGAAATTTGACCGGTACTTTCCTACGAAACTACAGGTATCCTCTTCCACCTTCAAAAAATAAATTAGTTTACAAAATACGCTTACTTGTGTACAACTTGATGGCTCAATGGTTAGCGTGTCCGACTTACAAACTGAGGGTTGTAGGTTCAAGCCCAGCTGGAGAAACTTTTTTTTCATTTTTTTTTTTTTTTTTTTTTTTTTTTTTTTTTTTTTTTATTAATTCAAATGACATGAAAACTTAAAAAAAGGTGGAAAGCCGTTAATTGTTCAGAGAACAATTAGTCTCCTAGTTAGGTCTTTCCACCTTTCTGTGGAAAGACCTATTGATTTCCTTCTGTTTCTTTTTTTCCTTTTTATTTTTATTATTTTTCCGCCGTGTGATTTTTTGTTTCAAGATTTATCGAAAAGATTTTGAGTTCATAAGAATGTACTCCGTAAAAGATTTTCGCAGTTGACCCTGCGTATATGAACTATGACCCCTTTCGGAGTTATTACCCCTTTCGCAAAAAAGCTTGTTATCGCTACTCCTCTGAAACCGTAAACCGTAGAGGTATGAAACCTTCACTAATGTCTTCGACTACTTGAGAGGACCTTTCAATCTATTCATTGTGAAAGGATCCGAAGACCCCTTCCATGAGTTATTGCCCCTGAAACTTTTTAAATTTTACAAATAATTAAAAAAATTTAAAACGACAAGTCGTAGAGACATGGAACCAACTGCATAAGATTCATTGACCTTTGACCTTCAAATTCATGTAAAGGTCAAAGGTCAAGGTCATTCCAAAACTTTGAAATTAAGCTCTTTTCATATCTCCTTTGTCATTTTACATATATTTAATGTCTATGCATCATTGATATGTACTCTTAAAACTATTTCAAAGGTTTCATTCTTGTCCCCTAACATTAATCCCTTTAAAAGTTATTGCCCCTTGTGCGAAAAACCTTGTTATCGCTACTCCTCTGAAACCGTAAACCGTAGAGGTATGAAACCTTCACCAATGTCTTCGACTAATTAAGGGGACTCTTCAATCTATTCATTGCGAAAGCATTCGCTGACCCCTTCAATGAGTTATTGCCCCTGAAACTTTTTGAATTTTACTTTTAATTAAAAATTATCAAAACGACAAGTCGTAGAGACATGGAACCAACTGCATAAGATTCATTGACCTTTGACCTTAAATTTCGTGAAAAGGTCAAAGGTCAAGGTCATCCCAAAACTGTGAAATTTAGCTCTTTTTATATCTCTTTTGTCTTTCAACATATACTTAATGTCTATATATCATTAATATGTAATCTTAATACTGTTTTAAAGATTTCATTCTTGTCCCCTCACATTAACCCTTTCAAAAGTTATTGCCCCTTGTGCGAAAAACATTGTTATCGCTACTCCTCCGAAACCGTAGACCGTAGAGACATCAAACCTTTAATAATGTCTTAAGGGTCTTTAGGCCTAACTTCACTGTATAAGTGCAAAAGAATCCGATAACCCCTTATATGAGTTATTGCCCTTTAACTTCTTTGTACTTACTATTAAACCTTATAACTTGAAAACTTTAAGTGGTAGAAGCATGGAATCAATTGCATTGTGACCCTTGACCTTTAACCTTCAATATTTTTTCAAGGTCAAAGGTCAAGGTCATTCTTTTCTTTTTTTTAATTTTTATTTTTTCTATGCTTTAAGAGAGTTTTGGTTTTTTTCACGAAATTTAATTTTTCCGTAAGATTGACCCTATTAAAAGTTATCGCCCTTTGTGCGGAAAACCTTGTTATCGCGGTGGAAGGTGGAAAGACCTCTTATTGTTCTGTGAACAATAAGTCTACTAGTTATTATTATTATTCTTTTTCTTCCCGAACTTTTGAAATCGTAAGACTTATCGAAAAACGTTATGGTTCATGATATTGGATATTAAAAGTTATTCCGAAAAACGACCCAAGAAGTTTGAACTTTGACCCCTTTCAAAGTTATTGCCCCTTTCACAAGAAATGCTTGTTATCGCTACTCCTTTGAAACCGTAAACCGTAGAGGTATGAAACCTTCACCAATGTCTTTGACTAATTGAGAGGACTCTGGAATCTATTCATTGCAAAATTCTTCGGCGACTCCTTCAATGAGTAATTGCCCCTGAAAGTTTTAAAGTTTACAAGAAAAATTAAAAACTTTTAAATGACAAGTGGTAAAGACATAGGACCAAGTGCATGAGATCTTATGACCTTTTACCTTGAAAAGTAGGTCAAGGTCAAAGGTCAAAGTCACTGGAAAAGTAGATAAATTGTCAATTTAAGCTAAATATCCAAATGACCTTGACCTTTGACCTTGATATTTGACATTGACCTTGACCTCTGACCTTGACTCTTACTCAAAAGGTCATAAAGAAATATTCATTACCTTTATCTAGATTAAGACCAAGTGTTAATCTCAAGTTTACCTCTCTCTCTCTTTTTTTTTTTGATGACCTTGACCTTTGACCTTGATAAATGACCTTGACCCTTGACCCCATTGACCTAAAGGTCACAATCAAGCTAAAAGTCGTGGAGGTATTTACAACCATCACTCTAACAAATGCTTATAAAATCAACACCCCCCCCCCATAAAATAAAATAAAATCAACACCAACTTAGAGAAAATGTCTACAAGTCAAACGAAACGAAATATTGACATAAGATTCGTAATAAAAGGAAGAAGAGACCTGAAAGAAAGTGTCCTGAGAGTTTTAAGGTGAGTCTCTAAAGTATAATGACATTTTAGTGAATATCGGCAAAATCTGCATTTTTTTTTCTGTCTGAAATTAAGTTATTGCTGAGCATAAAAATTAATTAAAGCTCGTATTGGCTATTTCTGCAATTTTGGTTAATATCATTCGATTCTCCTGCTCTATTACGACATTTTAATACCAAGTATTCTTGCTTTCTTAGGTGTATGGAATTTATTTTAATTTTATTTAGATTTAAATATGAATCGGCTGAAACTCGGAAATACCGATTTTTCATATAAAATAAATTTGCACGCTCTCCGTGACACCGTCTTCTTCATGAAATGCATGTTTCAAGTTTAATTTATGCTCATAACTATTAATTCAATCCAAATAGAGATGATTATCTAATCTAACCTCTGAGTTTGCCATTTCTGTCAAAACGAACGCGCCTATATTTTCACAAATTGTAAACACAGTGCCGACACGGAAGTTCGAATGTATCATAAGTTCTGTATGATTAACTCAATCTATTCAAACTATAAACAAAATCAAATGATTTTTTTTATAGGAAATCTCCATTTTCATTATCCACCAATCGTTTCTCTCAGAACTATTCATTATTCCTCTCTATGTTCCATCACAAACAAATAAATACACGTGTTTCTGTACTATTTTTATTTAAATCCACGTGCTTTCATTTCTTCCTTTTTCTATACTCTTAGTTTACGGAAAACAATTTCATCGGAGCCTGTGGTGTAGTGCATAGAGCGCTCACCTGGCAATCTGAGGGCTGAGGATCCACAGTTCGAATCCTGCTGGCAGCACTTTTTTTTTTTTTTTTTTTTTTTTTTTTTTTTTTTTTTTTAATAAATTCAAATGACATGAAAACTTAAAAAGGTGGAAAGCCGTTAATACGGAACTTTCGAGTTACGGATCCGCTTCGGATATTACCGCTCGCCAGACGTAATTGTAGGGCATAGTTCACTTCCGCATTCCAACGCAACGGTGTAAACAAATATGGAAGACTTCAATAGTTATCAAGTCCCGGCGTTAAAACATTACTTAAGTACGAAAGGCATAACGACATCCATGTACAGAAAAGCTCATTTGATAAAACTGTGTGAACTGGCAAGAGAAATAGACCTAGAAGATATAGAAACTAAAGATGATTATGTGGATATGGATGTTCGTCGTAGAACGGTCGGAGACCGCATCTTGCCCAGCATAAGCGAGGTACAGTTTAAGTCAGTTTTTTATGGGGATAATCATATTTATCTCAAATTTATATCATATACAACAATAAGTAAATTAAATAATTATAAAGTTACAACAAATTAGAGGGTAAGAGAGGCATGAACCTTGCCAACATGAAATATATATAATGAGATTTTATAATATCCAAAATTTTATTTGGAGTATTACAACTATTTCAGGTTAAATTATGTGATTGGAATGGAGATCTAAAGAATGTTCCAGATATAGACATTGCCGATGTTTTTGTGCATTTGATTAACATTGGTTGGGATCAGAATCGCCTTCATTCGTACAAAGAAGACAGGGGCTATCTATTATATCAGAACAATCATGTTGACAGTGTTCGAATGTGCTTATTGGATTCAGAATATTCTTATATTATGTGTAACACAACACCAGAAACTCGTCAATCTGAGTACCCTTACAGGACATGGCTACTGGTAAAGGCTGATGGCTATATCATATCAGGTGGCTGCTCCTGTGTTGCGTAAGTCCAGTTTTGTGCTTTTTTACTAGATGTAATTACAGTCATAGTATTTATGATGTACATTACATCAATCCGTAAATTCGAGCAATTATTATTAACATGCTCCTTTTTGTCTTTTTAGGGATGATGGTTCGTGCAAGCACTGCACAGCCCTGTCATTTGCTGTTGCAGCTTTTTGCGAACGCCATAAGGACAGGCATACCGAGGTGGGAACTGATGTGAAGTGTGTTTGGGACAAGCCCCGTAAGGAAAGCAAGCCTTGTCGCGTTAAGGAAATTTGCATCTCCCACAGGAAAGTTCCACTCATACCAAACAAAGAGGACTACCAGCCATGCCCTACTCTCACTAGTGACATTAACAGAGAAGTCGAAAAAGAACTGTATACAATGTGTCAGGGTACGGGTGCTCTTCTATTACACACATTAGACCCCCATTCAGATGAGGAGGAAGATCATCATGAAGATCCGCCTGATATGATAGCTGCTTTGACACACACAATTCAGACTGGAGAATCCTTGATAGGTTATTTAAGAAATGTGTATAACTCTGATATTATTCAGGAAGTTGAGCAGATCACTTGTGGTCAAAGTGAAAATGAATTATGGTACAAATACAGGCATGGTAGAATAACATCTTCCTTGTTTTCAAAAGTATGCCATTTTAGAGGGGGGAGTCATGATAATTACATCACACGTGAAATTCTAAATGATAACTCCAATGCCTTAAACACAGATGCAGTAAGGTATGGAAGACAGAATGAAGTTGTAGCTAAACAATTGTTTTTTGACATGTATGCTCGTGATCATGTAAATGCAAAAATGAGACCTTGTGGCTTAAACATATCTCAGCAACATCCATTTTTAGGTGCATCACCAGATGCATATTTGTCGTGCAAATGTTGTGGGAAAGGTTTAATTGAGGTAAAATGCTCCTACTCCCACAGAAATGAAACACCGTATGATGTAGCAGGTGACCGTCATTATCATTTGTATAGAGACACTAATGATGTTGTCAAACTTAGAGCAGATTCACCATGGTATGTGCAGATTCAAGGACAGCTTGGTATTTGTAATGCTAGGTGGTGTGACTTTGTTTTTTATACAGACATGGGTTTTATCAGTGATAGAATTTATTATTTTTTTTTTTTTTTTTTTTTTTTATATAAATTTATTACAAATAACAAAAACATAATATACATGTCACACACATGTACAATACATTGATTAGATAAGTTGAACAATTACATTCTTTCTATTTGTCATGTGAGAATCATATATTTGAAATAAATAATCAAAATATCAAATTGAAGAAAAGTCTTTTAAAAATACAGCTGAGTAACTTATGTATAATTGTAAGTACCCTTACATATCTGGGAGACCACACCTCCAGTTCAAAAAGTCTATTTATTGTCTCCCAGATAAGATTTGTAGAACAACAGCCTTATTCTACAATGGGTTGATGAATTATAGTTTGTCTTTAATACATTTTATAATATTACAATATTTCATATGGTGAATTTTCTTATATACTTCTGAATAAATATTCAACATACTCTTCATATAATAACTTATTTCTTTAGGCTTTTCTTCTTTGTTTTCTAGTCTACAGTACATTTTGTATTTGTAAATTTTACATGCAATCAGGGATATTATACTATTCAGAAATAATATCTTTTCATTTTTTTCATTATAAAATCCAATAACAATATTTTTCCACGATATATCAAATTTCAAAACTTCCTGTACAACATCCCATATGTGAGACACATTTTGACATTTTAGAATAAGATGTTCATTATTTTCTTTTACATCTCTACAAAAGACACACAATTCATTTTCAACATGTTTCCATTTCTTCAACATTTCTCTATTACACAATAAGTTATTTAATAATCTATAATTAAAGTCTGATATTCCTCTATCTACAATTGCTAATATTTTTTGTTCATATATAGATTTCCAAGCAGCTTTTGGAATTTCAAACAATTTTTCATAATAATATTGATGTAACAGAGGTTTAAATTTATCATGACATAAAATGCTATAAATCAATTTTGAAGTAATATCAAAAACTGTTACTTGATGATGGTATAGTAAATCATATACATTATTTTCATATTTGATATTTTCATACTGTATATTTCTAAAATCATAATCTACAAAAGCTTTCAAAACTACATTTTTCATTATCATATATTCACAAAACCAATTACTCTTACATACAAGTTTATCATTAAACCATTCTATGGGTTGCATACCATTTTTGTCTACAATATCACCAATATACTTAAAACCACTTTTCAGCCAATTTACAAAAAATAGTGGCTTGTTTTTAAACTTCATTTTATTATTGCACCACAGTGGTTCCTTTAATAAAGCATTTAAATTTAGTTCTCTTTTGTTTCTTTTACATTCATTAAAAAATACAAGCATTTCTTTGTAAAACAAAGGAAAGTTTTCCATAATTTGATAATCTTTGGTATCAATAACATTTGTTTTACATAGATATTCAAAATCAAAATTTCTCTCTCTACACAAACTATCAACAAATAAGAATAAGGAATTTGTTTTACTTAATATGTTTTTAATCCACGATACTTTTATGGATTTTAATTTTAAAGGTACATCGACAATACCTATTCCTCCTTCTTGAACTCTTCCAATCTGAGTGTTTCGTTTTATTCTATCTTTTTTATTCCATATAAAATTGAAAATTAGACTTTGTATTTTCTTAAGTGTATTTTCATTTGGAAAACTTAAAACTGACCCAACATATATAATTTTTGATATTGCTAGACTATTAATTACACAGACTTTGCCCAGAATTGTTAATTTTCTTTTTTTCCAAGATTCAAAAAGTTTTTCTAAGTCGTCTACAATTTTTGTCCAGTTTTTATTGTAACATAGTTCCTTATCATGCCCTATGAAGATCCCTAAGGCTTTTATACAAGAATTATTAACGTCAACATTTTCTATTTGCCGATACAAATTTTTCCATTTGCCTGTTAAAAGACATTCTGTTTTGGACATGTTTAGTTTCATACCAGATACTTTACTGAATTTTTCTATAACCTCTAAAGAATGTTTGAGGGACTTCTTATCTTTTAATGGAAGTGTGCAGTCATCTGCATGTTGTATAATCTTTATAATATCAGTCATTCCAGGTTTTTGAAAACCCTTAATGTTAGAATTTGATCTAATAGCAATAGCTAATACTTCTACTACGAATAGGAATAAAATAGCAGAAATAGGACATCCTTGTCTTATACCTCTATGCATATCACATGTTTTAGATATCCAACCATTATTTTTTATTCTAAATACAGGCTTATCATATAAAATGGTGATCCATTTCAAGAAATTTTCGCCAAAATTATATTTTTTAAGAACTTTCAACATAAAATTCCATTCTACAGAGTCAAAAGCCTTTTGGAAGTCTAGAAATAACAATATTGAATCCATGTTATTTTCTTCACAATATTCAAAAATATCAACAATTAATCTTGCATTTAAGGCTATGTTGCGCCCTTTTATGTATGCTGATTGATTTACATGTATTGCATTATTTAGTATTTTTTGAAGTTTATTAGCTAAGATAAATGCTATTATTTTATAATCAGTATTTGTTAGACTAATAGGTCTATAATTTGTTATATTCTTAGAGTCACCTTTTTTAAATAAAAGAGTTATTAAAGATAACCTTTGTGTATATGCCATATGGTTTTTTTCAAAAATCTCCTTAAGAGTCGAATAATAATAATCTTTAATATTTTCCCAGAATGTTTGGTAAAATTCACAAGGTAGTCCATCAAGTCCTGGTGATTTATTTTTCTTCATGTTAAATACTGCCTCTTTACAATCAGATATTGAAGGAAGTTCATCTAATTCTATTCTTTCCTTATCATTTATTGTATATTCTAACTGTAAATCTTTGAGATATTCCTCTATCTCATTATCAGTTACATTTTCTGAAGAGTATAATTTTTCAAAAAAATTACATGTTGATTGCAATATTTCATCCTCATCAAAAACAGTATCGTGCTCAGTATTTAAAGACTTTATTATGTTTGATATCTGTCTTTTCTTTTCTAAGGTTAAGAAATAGGAAGTGTTTTTCTCTCCATTTTCAATCCAGTTTGCCCTTGATCTAACTTGAGCACCTTTTGCTTTTTTGTTTATCAATTCTGTTAATTCGTTTTCTAATTTTCTTTTTCTATTCATATCAATTTTTTCATAGGGCAGGTCTTCTATGTTTTTTAATTCTTCTTGAATAAAATTTATTTTACTTTTGTAAGATTTTGATAGATTCTTGGAAAAGTTAATACAAAAATCTTTTACATTTCTCTTTAAATCTTCCCATGATTCTATTGGGTTTTCTCTATCATAATTAAAATCTTTGAGAAAAGTTTTCATATCACTGATAAAATTTTCATTTTCAATTAAAGATGTGTTGAATTTCCAGTATCCTGGACCTCTAAGATTTTCATTTACTAACAAGGAGAAAATTATACATTTATGATCAGACATTCTTGTTCCATTTGAATGTGAACCAGGAATGTTTTGGAGTCTTATAGTTTTACATTGATAACAAAAAGTATTTGAAAGTAAAATATAGTCAATTCTACTTGTTGGAGTATTTTCTCCATTACACCAAGTATACCCTTGTTTATCACTTTTCATAGTTTTCCATACATCATGCAAATTTAACTTATTCAAAAGTTGTTTTAAAGAAAGAGTACTTTTATCATTATTGTTGTCCGACACACAGTTCAGATCGCCGCATATCAGCACATTTTCAAAACTTTCTGTGTATTTACTTATCCAGTCTTTAGTACGTTTAAAAAAATCTGTTCTGTTGTTTATATCATTAGGTGCATAAATATTTACAAGCGTAATTATTTTCTCATCATACTCTATATTTACAAGCAGTTTTCTTCCATCGTTTGATCTATGCGTACTAATTATTTTAATAGGTAGATCTTTTTTAAATAGAATTGAAACACCCCTGCTATATTGAGAATCTGAGTAGTTGTGAACAGATACACCTTGCCAGCGAGCATTATATTTGAAAACATTCTTTTCGATATAATGAGTTTCTTGAATAAATATAATGTCAATCGAACTATCATTTATCCATGTATAGAACTTTACTCGCTTTTCTGCAGTATTTAAACCCCTGCAGTTAACTGAAATTATATCTAGCTTATTCATTATTGTCTAAAGTTTACCATCACTATATGTCTAATTATTACTTTTTGCTTTGTTGTTCCTCCCTGTTCTGCCGCTGCTAGTGGATCCTGATCTGGAGCTCGGGTGTTTTAATTTAGCGGCCATACCGTCGAGCAGGCGCCCGAGTCTATTTTGGCCCGGCCAGTGCTGCATGACTGTATGCGATGTTCCGGTAAAGTTCAGTCCACTGCCCCAGTACTCATCCCATGTTGATTCCACCAAGATATCGGTTTTTCGCACTTTTTTTAAAGAATCCCTGAATTTTGAGCACTGTTCAAGTTTGGCCTCTAGAATTTCGTTCATGACTGAATCTTTAGATGAAAGCCATGCATCTGATTCTAGAACTTGGCCTCCAATACGCTTGGCTTCTAAGGCAGTTTCTACTTTACACACGGCTTCGGCTCGGTTAAGATCTCCAGATCGTAAAGACTTTATGTGCTGGTAGGCATGCTCCGCTGATCGATACGATTGCTGGAAAACCTTGATTTCGGTAGGAAAGAAGTTGGACAAAGGGTTTTCCTCTCCAGAGAAGCATATAATATCTTCCTGATATTTCAAAACATAAAATTTGTACAGTTGGAAAGTTTGCATCCTAAAATACTTGGAAAGTGCTGCTAGAATCCCGAGTTAAGCATGGTTTTAAGAAAAATCTCGAATCATAGGTAAAAAATTCAAAACATCGGGTAAGGTTTCGTGCGAATGTGTGAAATAATTATTTTACTGACGGAACAGTGGGATTCTAGCAGCACTTTTAAGGCAAAATAGATGTTTTTTAACTTCATTATTTACTCAAAGAAATTATTAAACTCCGGGGTATTGTTGTTCTGTTCGCTTTTTTATTAAGGAAAATATCGCTATTAATAGAAGTCACGTGATGCCGTGGTGGTGTTGCACGTCGTTGCGTTACACACTCTTTTATCTTTATGCAATAAATAATAAAAGTTTACGCTTATCAGCGGTTTTGGTAACTTATCAAACTAAATTTCCTTTAAAAAGTCTGAATTTCCCGAAAAATGACTTATATGCTTCCTTAACATACCCGCGAATCCTTGCAAAATTCTTTGTGTTTATTTTTCTGTATACAGTTTGTGTTTTGTATTAAATTCCAAAAGCCATTATAACTGGCTAAATATTACATGTTTTCAATCGATCGATGAAATGCCCCGCCTACACTGAATATTAATGTGACACAATACGGAACTTTCGAGTTACGGATCCGCTTCGGATATTACCGCTCGCCAGACGTAATTGTAGGGCATAGTTCACTTCCGCATTCCAACGCAACGGTGTAAACAAATATGGAAGACTTCAATAGTTATCAAGTCCCGGCGTTAAAACATTACTTAAGTACGAAAGGCATAACGACATCCATGTACAGAAAAGCTCATTTAATAAAACTGTGTGAACTGGCAAGAGAAATAGACCTAGAAGATATAGAAACTAAAGATGATTATGTGGATATGGATGTTCGTCGTAGAACGGTCGGAGACCGCATCTTGCCCAGCATAAGCGAGGTACAGTTTAAGTCAGTTTTTTATGGGGATAATCATATTTATCTCAAATTTATATCATATACAACAATAAGTAAATTAAATAATTATAAAGTTACAACAAATTAGAGGGTAAGAGAGGCATGAACCTTGCCAACATGAAATATATATAATGAGATTTTATAATATCCAAAATTTTATTTGGAGTATTACAACTATTTCAGGTTAAATTATGTGATTGGAATGGAGATCTAAAGAATGTTCCAGATATAGACATTGCCGATGTTTTTGTGCATTTGATTAACATTGGTTGGGATCAGAATCGCCTTCATTCGTACAAAGAAGACAGGGGCTATCTATTATATCAGAACAATCATGTTGACAGTGTTCGAATGTGCTTATTGGATTCAGAATATTCTTATATTATGTGTAACACAACACCAGAAACTCGTCAATCTGAGTACCCTTACAGGACATGGCTACTGGTAAAGGCTGATGGCTATATCATATCAGGTGGCTGCTCCTGTGTTGCGTAAGTCCAGTTTTGTGCTTTTTTACTAGATGTAATTACAGTCATAGTATTTATGATGTACATTACATCAATCCGTAAATTCGAGCAATTATTATTAACATGCTCCTTTTTGTCTTTTTAGGGATGATGGTTCGTGCAAGCACTGCACAGCCCTGTCATTTGCTGTTGCAGCTTTTTGCGAACGCCATAAGGACAGGCATACCGAGGTGGGAACTGATGTGAAGTGTGTTTGGGACAAGCCCCGTAAGGAAAGCAAGCCTTGTCGCGTTAAGGAAATTTGCATCTCCCACAGGAAAGTTCCACTCATACCAAACAAAGAGGACTACCAGCCATGCCCTACTCTCACTAGTGACATTAACAGAGAAGTTGAAAAAGAACTGTATACAATGTGTCAGGGTACGGGTGCTCTTCTATTACACACATTAGACCCCCATTCAGATGAGGAGGAAGATCATCATGAAGATCCGCCTGATATGATAGCTGCTTTGACACACACAATTCAGACTGGAGAATCCTTGATAGGTTATTTAAGAAATGTGTATAACTCTGATATTATTCAGGAAGTTGAGCAGATCACTTGTGGTCAAAGTGAAAATGAATTATGGTACAAATACAGGCATGGTAGAATAACATCTTCCTTGTTTTCAAAAGTATGCCATTTTAGAGGGGGGAGTCATGATAATTACATCACACGTGAAATTCTAAATGATAACTCCAATGCCTTAAACACAGATGCAGTAAGGTATGGAAGACAGAATGAAGTTGTAGCTAAACAATTGTTTTTTGACATGTATGCTCGTGATCATGTAAATGCAAAAATGAGACCTTGTGGCTTAAACATATCTCAGCAACATCCATTTTTAGGTGCATCACCAGATGCATATTTGTCGTGCAAATGTTGTGGGAAAGGTTTAATTGAGGTAAAATGCTCCTACTCCCACAGAAATGAAACACCGTATGATGTAGCAGGTGACCGTCATTATCATTTGTATAGAGACACTAATGATGTTGTCAAACTTAGAGCAGATTCACCATGGTATGTGCAGATTCAAGGACAGCTTGGTATTTGTAATGCTAGGTGGTGTGACTTTGTTTTTTATACAGACATGGGTTTTATCAGTGATAGAATTTATTATGATGAATCTTTCTTCAATGAAATTGTTAACAAGTGCAGCACCTTTTTCACAAATTATGTTCATCCTGCACTGCTTGCTAAAATGTAGAATATAAATTCTCTGCTGTAATTTGATGCCCTTTACTAGATTACATCGCATCTTGTATGATACACTGTATTGTGTTTTGTCTAATGATTGAGATTAAGACATCTGAATTGCAATAAGAACCACTCACTCATACTTCTATGTTGTTGACTTGTATTACATGAATATGAAAAATGAAATGCAGTTAGATATTTTATGTATAATATTGAATATTGTTAAATCAACAATAATAAAACAGTAAATGTAAAAACAACAACTTCTATATTTTTTAGGTAACACCAAAAATCAAATTAACAAATTAAAAAATGTCAAATATGAAGCATCTTGTTAATTTTTCACAAGAGGTTTTGACAAATTGCATAGAAATGCAGCAACAACAAGAATCTGGCTTGCAATTGGCTTTAAATTGATTGGTAAAATGCCAGATAACAGTTTATATGATTTCAAACGTTGTATAGCACGTTCCACATGAATCCGTAGTTTCGCTATCTGTCTTGTTCTCCGAATCTCACTCGCATTTAACCGTTTTCCTTTTCCCCATCCACATTTATGTGTAAATGGTGGTATGACCAACTTTGCCTTTCGCTCCAATAGATAGTCTCTGATGATGAAACCCCGATCAGCCATCACCTCATCTCCAGCAGATATCAAATCCAAGAAATCACTATTGGCTGTAATGTACCTGTCAGACACATTGCCACCCCACAATTCAGATACATAAGAAAATGCACCGGTAGGAGTTATACCAACAAGGCATTTAAAGGTATTATGTCCTTTGTAATTGCTGTACGTTTGGCTTTGAGCAGTAGGTGTCCTTGGCTTTTGAATGAATATTTCAGTACAGTCTATGACGACTCTTGTACGAGGAAATGTCTGTTTGAAAGACCTTGGCATATGTTTTCTGATACTCTGCAGTGATGGCCATTTTAGTTGAGGTTTAAAAACCTGGAACATATAGTTTATCCATGTACACACTATTTGTGATACTCGTGTCTCTGATACACCAAACAAATCACCAATCAAAAAGGAGGGAACAGAAAGTCTTAGTCTGAGAAGTGTTAATAAAAACTCATGGAACCTTGTCAACTTCCTCTTTGGACCTGGTTTTCTGATTTCAGAGGTTTCGTAATTCATGTTCGCTATGCTTTTCTTTCCTGACCAGTACTTGAGTTTTGTGCATACTTTGTCCAGTATTGCTGTAAGCAGAAACAAAATTTTATCTAAAAGCAAATATACAAAATACTGCAGAGCATTCAAATATTGTACAAATCAATATTAGCTGCAATTAAGAAAATACATATTAAGTAGTATTAAATAAATTTTAAACTAAATCCTCAAAAATCCTACCAAACAATCCAAAGAGCATAGTTATGCTAGGCACGCCTAAATATCTTCTGACTGCTGAGTCGGACTGTGTAATTCTATTGACAAAATGCTCTCTGTGGATATGGTCTGTCTCTTTGGTCATAGTTTCCATATGATGTATATCCTTCATGGTCAGGTCTGTCTGCACAGCAAAATCAACAAAATCTTCACTGCATCTAGGTTCCACAGACTGTTTGCTGTATATATGGTCGTGGTCTATAAAAATAATAACTTATATAATATATAATAAGTTTAATTGATATACATGTATACTATAAATTGCATAACACATTTCAGAGTTATGCTAATGAAATATTAAAAGTCATCACCCTTACTGTATTTTCCACAAGAAATATCCTCAGTCTTGGAGCAAGGTTCCTTGATACAGGTTTCGTTTGATATTTGTTCTATGACACACTCATGTGCTACTGGAAGAGGTATATGTACACCAGCATTCCCTTCACATGAAACTGTGATATCCTCCATCTGAATAAAATATATAATGCTTTGAAATGTCACATATCATTTTGAATGCATAATTTTCTTGGTATTAAACTTTATTATGCATTTATAATAATAATAAATATTTAATACTAAATTTAATATAGGCCTATATATCACATAGTATTATACCCAGTGAATAAACATGTATATTTTGTTAATATTCGATTTCTGATTTCAAACAATTAGTTACATTGATGATACACAATATATAGCCTCATAGCATGCATAAATTTTAATGTAGGAATAAAATGATTTGTTTACCGGTAAACATTCCATTGGTGCACACTTGTTGGAATGAACTGACGTCTCCGCTACTGTAGCTGAATCAGACGAAGAATTGGTTGGTTGACGTTTCTCGATAGAGGTTGTTGTTCTGGACTGTTTGGCGACTTTATTGCGTGGAAATAACGTAGGGACAGGATTTTCTTCTGTTGGACAACCATCTATAAAATGTCGTGAACACACAGAATGGTAGCGTTTTGGGGCATACTTCTCATCCCTGAAAACCTGCTGCAGCCACCTCTTTCTCAGCTTTGCCTTACGTTTAGCTCCTGGATATGGGTAGAACTGCACTCCCCTCATCCACGGATATTTAATTAAATTTGCCTTTTTCCTGCCATCTGATGTGCAACCCGGCACGGAACACCAATAATGACTTGGTTCGTCTCCATGCTTCTCACTTTTTCTCTTTGGGGGCTTGTTTTCGTCTGCTTCGTTACACTCCATTTTGTTTCGATGTCAACAAAATATGCCCTACATTTCAGCCTTATCACGTGACAGCGGTGTATAAAATCCGAACGTAAACAGCCATATCCGGAGTATCTCGAAAGTTCCGTATTGTTCAGTGAACAATTAGTCTCCTAGTGTTAAACAAAAAAAGTAGACTATACCTGGCCCCTGAAACTTTAGTATCGCTATGCCTCTGAAACCATTGACCGTAGAGATGCGAAACCTTAAACAATGTCTCCGACTACTTTAAAAACATTGATTTTCAAATTTAGATCAAGGTTAAAGGTCAAGGTCATTCCTTATTAGGGCTTTCCACCTTTCTGTGGAAAGACCTCTTGAAATGCTTATGTTTATTAGGTCTTTCCACCTTTCTGTGGAAAGACCTATTGAAATGCTTATGTTTTTTATTCTTTTTCTGCCGGACTTTTGAAACCGCAAGACTTATTGGAAAAATTTATAGTTCATGATATTGGATATTTAAAGTTATTCCGAAAAACGACCCAAGAAGTTTGAACATTGACCCCTTTCGAAGTTATCGCCCTTTACACAAGAAATGCTTGTTATCGCTACTCCTCCAAAATCGTAAACCGTATAGGTATGAAACCTTCACCAATGTGTTTGACTACTTGAGGGGATCTTTCAATCTATTCATTGCAAAAGGATCCATAGACCCCTTATATGAGTTATTGCCCCTGAAAGTTTTTGAATTTTACAAATAATTAAAAATTTTCAAAACGAGAAGTTGTAGAGACATGAAACCAACTGCATAAGATTCATTGACCTTTGACCTAAAAATTTATGTAAAGGTCAAAGGTCAAGGTCATTCCAAAAATGAGAAATTAAGCTATTTTAATCTCTTTCAACTTATATTATCTGTCTGTGCATCATTAAAATGCACTCTTTAAACTATTTCAAAGATTTCATTCTTGTCCCCTAAGATTAACCCTTTTAAAAGTTATATCCCCTTGTGTGAAAAACCTTGTTATCGCTACTCCTCCGAAACTGTAGACCGTAGAGACACCAAACCTTCACTAATGTCTTAAGGGACTTTAGGCCTACATGTAACTTCACTGTATAATTGCAAAAGGATCTGAAGATTCTTATGTGAGTTATTGCCCTTTATCTTCTTTGTACTTACTATAAGACCTAATATCTTGAAAACTATAAGTCATAGAAGCATGGGGTCAATTGCATTATGACCCTTGACCTTTGACCTTGATTATTTTTTCAAGGTCAAAGGTCAAGGTCATTCCATTTTTTTTTTTAGATTTTCATTTTTTCTATGCTTTATGACAATTCTGGTTTCTTTTTCTTGGAAATTAATTTTAAGGAGTCAAATATAAAAATTAGAAATTCAAAGAAGGTGGAAAGACCTCTTATTGTTCTGTGAACAATAAGTCTCCTAGTTTTATTAACTTATTATTGTTTTTAACTTTAACATGTTTAAGTTAAATTAATGTTATGTTTTTTTTTTCTTTAAAACATTTATTTATAGAACTAGTAGTGTTTAAATATGTGTAAAGTTTCACAAACTAAAATTATAACTTGATATACATTTTCATGCATGTTTTAAGGTACCCATGGTATATAATTTAATGTATATAATTAATTATTTCTTTTTTCTTTCACTTTCCATCTTTTTGTCCCATTTTATAATTAACATTTCACATGTTTCCTGAATTATGAATTCACATCAATGTCGGTTCAACATTGTCTATACCAAAAATTGTATCGAGAAAGGTCGTGACTCATCAACATTGGTCCAATGTTGTACTCGCAACAAAATCTGATAGCTTAGTGGTGACAAGCTAACAACAGTTGCCCAACATTGGGCCAACGTTGTTTTCCTTACCAACCTTTGCCTCTGAGTAAAATATTGTAAATTTGACATTGACCCAACATTGGTCCAACGTTGTAAACGGCGGTCCTATGTTGGGCCATTGTAGTGTCCTCACCTCAGCTTTTGAGTAAAATAGGGTTATCTTAACTGACATTGACCCAACATTTGGCCCAGGTTGTATGTCCAACAAATTATAACAAAATAAGAGCGCGATTCACCAATGTTGGCCCAACGTTGGACCAATGCTGTACTCCCAACAAAATCTGTCAACTTAGTGGTGACTAACTAACAACAGTGGCCCAGCCTTCGGCCAACGTTGTATCCCTATCAAACTCGGTCTTTGAGTAAAATAGTGTAATGTTGACATTGGTCCGACATTGGATATCCGATATCCCAATCAACCTCGGCCTCTGAATAAAATAGTGTGATGTTGACATTAGCCAAACATTGGGCCAACGTTGTTAACCCAACCCCAACCATCTGCCAACGGTCCAACCATTAGCAAACGTTCGGCCGCCGTAGTCATGCTATCTGGGTAATAGTTTTATTATCATGCAGAATCTGTTTTCTGATTTCTTTATTCTTAAAGCCAAACGTTCGTCAGATCTACATTATAATTGATATAAAATAGAAAATAGTTATCAAACTTTTTGACTCTGCTCTGACTCCATACTTTCAAAATATGTCAACAAACTTTGATGTCATGAATATTTAGGTCAGACGACACGTTGACAAAGATGAATATTTTTGATATAATACCAGAAGATACAAAACATATATATTTGAGGAACGTGTCGTCTGACCTTAATTTATTGTTTACTGATGACTCTTTACAAAGAAATACAAAAAACTCATTCAGAAAGGTTGTGTAACCGAGGTCAAGGACATACCTCACGTTGTAAATCCTTTAACTGTCGCATTCAACAAGACGGGTAAAGCTCGTTTAGTTTTGGATTGTAGACACATTAATCAATGTATACATAGTTTTCCTTTTAGAATGGAAGACACAAAAGTTGCTCGCGATATTTTTGACAAAGGTGATTTTTTATTTAGTTTTGATCTGAAGTCAGCATACCATCATATAGAAATTTTTGAAGATCATAAAAAATATTTAGGTTTTCACTGGGAATATGACGGCACTTTGAAATATTTTGTGTTCAATGTTTTACCCTTTGGTATTTCGTCTGCCGCATTCATATTCACAAAAGTTTTGAGAAAGGTCGTTCAATATTGGCGAGGAACAGGTATTAGGGTTATTATGTACCTAGATGACGGTCTGGCTGGATCAAATAATTTCCTAGAAGCTATAAGTATTAGTAACTTCGTTCAGACTTCTTTAGAACAATTGGGTTTTGTTGTGGCACATTCAAAAAATGTATGGCAGCCTCAACAAAACTTAGTATGGTTAGGGTTTGAGTGGAACACTGAAAAGGGCAATATAAAGATCACTTCTGAAAGAACAGAAAAATTACTTGCAAACATCAGTGAAATTTTAGACAAAGTACAATCAGGTCAGCTTGTTTTCAAGGTAAGGCGTATAGCAAGTATCGTAGGACAAATCATTTCTATAGAAGCCGCTATAGTACATGCGGCAAGATTTTATACAAGGTGTCTATATGACGTTATTCTTAAGAGAATTAATTGGAACTCGCAGGTAAGATTAAGTTCAGGGTCTGAAGAAGAGTTGTTATTTTGGAAACAAAATTTATTGCATTTAAACGGTTCTGATATAAAATGTCAAGAAAAGGAATCTGATTTGAATGTATACAGTGATGCATCAGATACAGGTTTTGGTGCTTTTATAGAAGGAATCAGTGATTCAGAAACGTTTGGTACGTGGACAAGCGAGGAGTCTTGTTGGAGTTCTACTTGGAGAGAACTCGAAACTTTAAATAGAGCATTGAATACTATAGGAGAAAGTATTCAGGATAGACAAGTCAATTGGTACAATGATAATAAAAATGTTTGTAGAATTTTAGATGTGGGCAGCAAAAAACCATATTTGCACAGTATTGCAAAAGAAATACATGGTAAGTGTGCCACAAAAAATGTGCTTTTAAATAGCATTTGGGTACCACGAGAAAAGAACACAAGAGCAGATGCTCTGAGTAGGTGTTTTGATAGCGATGATTGGGGAATTAAATCTCATGTGTTTGAAAACATTGACAGAGACTGGGGCCCTCATACATGTGACAGGTTCGCTACTGATTATAACACAAAATGTAAAACATTTAATTCAAGGTGGTGGTGTACAGGCACAAAAGGGGTCGATGCATTTAGTCAAGGTTGGGGTGAGAATAATAACCGGTTAGTACCCCCACCCAGACTTATCAGTAAAACCGTTCTTAAATTGAAATCAGATAAAGGCAAGGGTACTTTAATAGTTCCTGTCTGGAAGTCTGCTCCTTATTGGCCACTTCTAAAACAGGGGGACAAATGGCAATATTTCGTGAAAGAAATTAAACATACAACATCCTTGATAACCCAAAAGGGAAAAGGGGACAATGGTATTTTCGGTGGGCACAAAATATTTGATATGGTCATTCTTAGATTACAGTTCTAGAATTACATGTATATTAGGCATTCGTTTTATATATTACTTATGTATTTCTTGCAGACCTAAGCTTGGACAAGACCATAGAGGAAGTGGTTAAATCAGCGGGTGTGGATTTAGAAGATTCGGAAAATGCCATTCTAGCGAGGAAGCTGTGTGATTTTCTTCTGAAATCAAAAAGTGTAAATACGAGTAAAAAATACATGTCAGCTTTTAACAGGTGGTGTAGGTTTATATATAACAAGAAAAAGCGGTCAGTTCCCGCTAATTCTGTGCATATTTCGTTGTATCTAACTCATCTTTTAAATATTGGATGTTCATTTCACGTGGTTTCAAGTGCAGTTTATGCCATCAAGTGGGCACATTCCATTTTGGGTTACTCTGATCCTACCGATCATCCATTTGTGAAGAATTTGTTAGAGAGTTCCAGACGTCACAACAAATCCAAAGTATCCAAAAAGGCGGCAGTTTCCGCTAAAGATCTAATAGCTTTGTGTAATCTTTACTCCAACAGTACCAATCTCGTAGACGTGAGGGATATTTCCATGATTTTATTAGCTTTCGCAGGATTTCTAAGATTTGACGAGATCAGTTCATTAGCTTGTTCCGACATAGTTTTCGTGGATAATTACATAAAAGTGTTCATACGTAAAAGTAAAACCGACCAATACAGGCAAGGAAATGAAATAGTTATATCAAGTGGTTCTACATCCGCCTGTCCTGTCAAAATGCTACTACGATACTATGAGTTGGGATGCATCGAAAAATCTTCAAATCATTTTTTGTTCAAACCTACATTCAATTCTAAAGGAAAAATTAATCTGGTGTACAAAAACAAAAAACTTAGCTATACACGAGCGAGAGAATGTATTATATCAAAACTCAAGAGCATTATGGGTGATGTTAACATAGGCATTCATTCTTTGCGCGCTGGCGGAGCCACGGCAGCGGCCAATTCGGACATCAACGATAGGTGTTGGAAAAAACATGGGCGTTGGGCGTCGGATTCAGCGAAAGACGGTTATGTTCAAGACAGTCTGGATAGTAGATTGTCAGTTTCTAAAAACTTAGGGCTATGATATTATTTACCAATTTCAAATATTGAAATAGAGATTATTTTATAATAAATAAAAAATTTGTTATTGTTATTATTATTATATATATATACTAGTCAAAATTTCTAAGTCCCCAGGCAAGTTTTTGCTTTATACCGCTTTTAAATTGAATTATTTTAACAGTATTACTTAATAAGTATACAGGATAATAAAATAGCAAAATAATTTTTCCTCACTTGATTTATTTTATTGAAGCACTTTAACACAATATGCAGAAACGTTAAGGCACCCTAGAATTAAAAATTCACAACGTTTAATACTGCATTATTCTCCATTCAAACGAATTCAAATCAAGACAACCGTTCCTCAAAGAGTTCACACTATTTAAGAAAAACTATTTCATTGAATGTTTTTCCATGTGGATACTAGGTCGTCCTCTAGTTCCGCTAGATACTGCTGCTGGGAAAGCTGTTTCACACTCCGGTCTATCTGCTTCCATACATGCTATTTAGGGTTGAGATTAGGAAGACAAGGGGGCTTATCGAAATTGTCTGTGCCTTGTCAACAATAGTTACTTAACGTCTTCTTACATGTATTCCCCAC